CCAAGTTAACAGCAAATAAGTGGACAAGGATATCATCTCAGTTACTGAAGGATGAACTGAGAGATGCTGCTACTGAAGCGGTAGAAAAGGGACTCAGGAAAATGGCGGGAACCACTGCCTGTGGACAAGCACAACAGAAACTTTTAGCCCAACATTCCGTGCTGAGCAGGCACCGAGACCAATATATAAGATGCACAAAGAGCCACCATTTCAGTTTCTTGACTTTGATTTATTACTAGAAAGGAAAAGAATCTGAATCTTGGAGCAAGAGGAAAAGCCAAGAAGCAGAACTGTTTTGGAGAACATGGCAGCAACTCTAATATAAGTGATAGATAGTACAGTAAAATTTCTTCAGGGATAGTAGGGAAAACATATCTTGCTGAAATGAAACAGAGGAGAATAGAAGAGATGCAGGATATTAAATTTAAATCATAACCTTTTGGAGAGAACACGAGACCCTGTAACTTTGGCTTGGCATTTCCTGACTTTTCAGCAATCTTAAAGATGGAATTATTTTACCAGATCATTTACAATTTTTTTAAAGGTTCAATCTTACAAAAAGACAAATTGCAGGGAAGACATTTTGGGATGGAAAAACATTGTTAGGGAAAGCAAAAATGCTCTATCTTGCATGGGATGTCAATTTTTTTTAGGCTAAGTTTTTTTCTTCAGATGTACCTCAAGTTGTGAAGTAAAAGCTAGCTTCTAATCCAATGCTGCCACCATTTAACCTCAGCTACATAAAAACTGTCTTGAGAATTTAAGAGCAAAGTTACTTTTCTCCCACAGCTGAAGTGGTTTTGTTTCCAAATATGCATACTGATACTGAGCTATAGCCTACAGCCAATTTTTCTGAATAGTTCACTCGTAAAGGCTTGTGGAATTCTGAAGGATGTAGCCACTTGTCAGTGACTTGATTAATCTGTAGAAAAAAAGACTGATGGAAGATGCTGATATAGTGCATTTAGTAGCCTACCACCAATTTCTTGTCACAAGTTTCCTTGATGTGAAACTAATGCAATAGGAAGGAATATACTTGGGTCAAATTGTGCAATATGTGGCACTCCATAGTATACTAATTTTGAGGATCACAGTTGGTTGCAAGGGGAAGAGGTGATGGACAATCTTCTTTCCATTAACGCTTTAAATGATTCTTCAGGGGAGAGAACTGCAGGAGAAAGAAGACCAACGAGCCACTGTAATGTGACTTGTCCCTAATTTAATATTTTACTGTTTTTCAAACATTAAATTTAATTTCAGCTGCAGTTTTCATGCAGAAGTGATTAATACTTTGTTCTTTCTCTTCTTAAAATAGCACTCAGTACAATGAGTACTCAGTACTAAGTACAATGTTAAGGAAGCATTCAGTTGTTAATACAATGAAATAACTAACAATTTCAGATCAGAATTTGTTTCACTGTTCCTGATTATAAGTTGTAAAACAAAAACATCTATGAAAATACTGCAGTATTAAGAAAGTTGTGTTAAAGAAAACCAAAAGGGTTTTGGGACATTAAAGTCAAGAATATTAAGAAAGCTGTTATTTTTATTATGCTATGGAATTGCGGTTTTCTTCATATTTAATGGAATTACAAATATTACTAGAAAAATGAAAAGCTACAAAATAATCCTGTCCTACCCTGAACAAGAAATTTTTGCTTAGCCAACAACAAAATTTACAATTTTGTTTGCCTTGGTTGCACATCTGAAGAATAGGACAATGGCTAACAAGGTCAAAAAAGGAACAGAGTGGCACTACAGAAAAGTATGGTATTATTCTTTTTATTTTATGCTGAAGGAGAGGGAAAATATGATCCAGTGCAATTCTTGTGCAAAAGGATTGTAGGGTACAGCAGAAATTATAGGTGAACAGAGGAGGGAGATGGTGTTAGGGGAAGGTAGGGCTGACAGAAGACTAAAAGATGGCATCTGTAACATCATATTCCATAGTAGTATCCAAAGATGTCTACACTAAGAATGAAGTACATCTAGAGACTGTTTTACCACAGGCACTTCTGCATCTGAGACAGTGATAAGCTTCAAAATGACACACAGACTTCAAGCTCCCTCTTTTTGTCCCCAAACATGTTTCTGAGCCCTGCAAGAGCATTCTAAGAAAATAAAAACTGCTTGTAATTGCAGCTCAGTGCTTCATCGCAAGCCCTATTGCAAAAATGTTGCATGCTTGCTTTATTTTCTGATGTGTGTTTTGTCTTTGTTTTGTATATGCCTTATGATTTTTTTTAAGCTGAACAACAGACTATCAGTAATTCTGATATAATAGATCATCCAATAAAACTTCCCTAGTATGAATAGGACAACATTTAACGGTATTAAAAGTGTCTAAAAATTGCTAAATCCTATCTTTGGGTCTGAGGATTGTCACAGGTTAGTATAAGAAGTGATTTACAACATTTTTGTAAGAGGAATGTACTCTCATACTTCATTCCCATCAAGAGAAGGAAAGGGCAAGCTACATTGCATACGCAGACACAGTATACCCACTCAATTTGAATTTTCAGTGGGAATTATAATTAGATTGTGGTATTTGTTAAAAGTAGCAATTTTAGCATGCTTTTGCTTCTTAATAATGGAAGTAAATAAACTGGTATGAACAAAAGAAATCCCTATGTGTATCCAAATGCAACTCAAATGCATAAGATGT